TTGAACTTTGAAGGTTTTTGATAACGAAATAATACGTATCGAAATTTAACCGTTAAATTTCGATTTCGAAGGGTTGCAACACAATCAATAATCTTCGAAATCTAACGTTGCGATATAATTTCGAAGGTTTTAGAATAAATATAATTACTGATATACTGGATATGATGTAAACTAATCAATATAATAATATGATATAAACTAATCAATATAATAACGTGACATAAAATGATCAGTATAAATAACGTGATGTGATGTAACAAATAAACAAATAAAAAAATAAACAGATAAACAAATAAACAAATAAATAATTCTATTTAAAGGGTTATTAATTCAAAAGTATTGTTTATTTTCTTTTTTGCTAACTTAAGTATGCCAAGAGTTAGTAGAATTATTCATACTATAAATCATCAGAACCTTGTTGTTGATGTTATTATGTTTCTTCAAGAGAAGATTCGTGATCTGAGTTATCATGTTGTTAACTGTTCTGATCTCGAGGTAGAAGTTAAAAGACTTCATATGAATTTACAAACTTTGGAGGAAAGATTAAATAGTATTAGGAGGGAACATTATAGATTCGAGATAGAACATAATGAACTTGAATGGGAGTGCTTTCTTCTACAGAGGAGTATTATACAAGAGTGAACACAATATCTGAGAAATTCTACTAAAACCTATCTACAAAGATTTCAACTTTATAAATATGAAATAAGTTATCTTGATTAGATAATTAATATCTTTCATTATGAGTTTCATATTTATCAGGTACCATATCCAATCCTTTCTAGATTTTCTTGATGGTTTGTATATCTTTTTTGATGATTGCTAAAGTTATGTAAAATAAAAAAATGAAAAAAATATAATTCTTAAATAAATAAAATAATATTTAATATTTATAGGGTTTCTACTTTATCTTTCTTCAACTACCTTCCTACCTGATCAGAGAACTCTTTCTGAAACAGGTTTAACCCTTTAAACTCTTTTCCTGATCCTTCTTTCTCTGCTAATAACTTTAATAATAATAAAGAAGCTGTTAACAATAGTGAAGTTGACAATAGTGATTCAGACCATACCATGTAATAAAAAATATTATAATTTAATTTTAATAAAGTAGTGCTTATTGTGGGCTTTTGTCATCTTAATCTGATATAAAAAAAAATTAGTCTGATATGAAAGAAAGTGGTGCTCATTGTAGATTTTTTCTTTCTATTATATTTCTATTTACTAATAATGTTTAAACTTTTATTTTATATTATAAATAGTGATACTTAAGATATTATTCTTTAATCAATCTGCATATCAATCTTTATACCAATCTTTGTGATGCATCCCTGAATTGTAAATGGTTTTTTGAAGCCTTTCTTAATTATTATTAGAAGTTATTTTCTACTAACAAATATAATTGAATTTTAATTAGTAAATATATATGATAAAAATATTTATAAGTAAGTTGAAATGATCTTGATTTTTTGAAACCTTTCTTAATTACCATTGAAAATTACTAATGACAAATATAATTAAATTTTAATTAATTCATGTATATGATAAAAATATTTAATAAATAATTAATAAATACTCAATATATTTTTATATTTTTAACTCAATTTCTATTTTAATTATGTCTAACTAAATTTAATAGTTTTAATTACATGTATAGTTTATATATATAGTAAAAATTAAAAAACATTTAGATTAAAAGATTCAATTTGATATTTATGGTATCTCTATGATATTTTATATATATTGACAATATTTGTAAAGATTTGAGATATCTTAATTATATTTTATAATAAATTTTGTAATATTTTATAATAATTTTTGATTAAAAATAATATATGAAGATAATTTTGATTAAAAAATTATATCACATAGATATTACTTGGATGTTGAATGATATTTAATAATGTCAATTAATATATCGTATAGATGTCAATTCGATATTTATTAAATATCTCTACGATATTTTTAAAATATTTTTACAATATTTTGTAAAGATGATTTTTGAATAAAAAATTATATCGCATAGATGTCAATTTGATATTATTAAATATCTCTGTGATATTTTGTAAAGATAATTTTTAAATAAAAAAATTATATTGCATAGATATCAATTTGATATTTATTAAATATCGAATTGATATTTTCAAGATATCTTTGCGATATTTTGTAAAGATAATTTTTGAATAAAAAATTATATCGCATAGATGTCAATTCGATATTTATTAAATATCAAATTGATATTTTCAAGATATCTCTATGATATTTTGTAAAAATAATTTTTGAATAAAAAATTATATTGCATAGATATTTATTTGATATTTATTAAATGTCAAATCAATATTTTCAAGATATGTGTAAAAATAATTTTTGAATAAAAAATTATATCACATAGATATTTATTCGATATTTTCAAGATATCTCTGCAATATTTTGTAAAGATAATTTTTGAATAAAAAATTATATCATATAGATATTTATTTGATATTTATTAAATATCGAATTGATATTTTTTAAATAATAAAATTTATTGATTAAAATATATTGCAGTGATATTTATTTATAATTTAATAATATAATTTCGATAATTTATTATATCAAAGTAATATTAAATGGATATCTTTAAATTATCAGTTTACTGTTATTTTGAGATATCGAGGTGATATCTTATTATATCAAAAAGTTATTCCAAAAATATCCTCACGATATCTTTTTCATATAAAAATTTTGAAATATCTTGGAGATATTTTGATGATATCTAGATGATATCTTTTCATTATTGAGGTGATATTTCTCAAAACCATCAATTTCAGCAAAGTTAAAATTCTTTTTTTCATCTTTTTATATATTCTTGAGATCTCTTAGGTTTAGATATTATTTTTTAGGTTTTGTAACTTTCACAATTTCTTAGGTATCTATTTACAACTTCTTAGTAATCTTTTTTACTGTTTTCAGATTTTTCAAGAGGAAAATAGAACAGAGATATTATTTTTTAAGAGAGATAATTATATATATATATATTTTTTTATCTGTGATACAATTAATCTTTTTTGATTTTGATTATTAATTAAATTCTTTTCTAATTAATTTATTTAAACTATTTACAAATTTTTCTCACATGTCAGATCTCATTAGTCAAATACAAAAGAATTACTATACTGAATGGTAATTCCTATACTAGAGATCAGTTAATACTAGTTAAATACAAAAGAATTACTGTACTAAATAATAATTCATATATTATAAATCAGTTAAAAATTGATAACAATTAACTGTCTTATTGTATCCTATATTATAAATTAGCTAATATGAAAATTTTTTTTCAGTATGATATATCTTTTGTATTCGACCTGTATAAAAATTAATAATAATTAACTAATTTATTGTATCTTATATTATAATTAGCAAAAATCAGAATTCCTTTTTAATACGATATATCTTTTATATTCGACCTGTGTCTAAATTATATAAATTTAGATCTAATTAATTTAATTAAATAAATAATTAATTTATTTAACTTAAATTTTTTTTAAATTTTTTTTTTCAATTTGTTTTATTCAAGATTACAATAAAAAAATAATTCTAATATATAAATTATATCTAACTATTATTATTTGTTTATTATTTATATTTATTGTAATACATAAATTAATAATATAGATTATAATGACAAAATCAATAACCAATTTAGTAACCAACTAATTAATCAATTAATTGTTAACATAATTACTGACAAAAGTAGATTTGAATATATCTAATATTGAAATTTAGATAGTAATCTTACTGTATTGAATTTGTACTTAATTCTAATACTAGTTAAATACAAAAGAATTACTGTACCAAATAGTAATTTTTATATTAAAAATCAGAATTTCTATACTATAGATTAGCTAAAAATAAGTAAAATCAACTATTCTATTATATCCTATATTATAAATCAACTAAAATCAGAATTTCTTTTTGATATAATATATCTTTTATATTTGACCTGTGTAATATTGAATTAATATTTTTGATAATACTAATTGATAAAACTATTGATTTATTTTGCAATAGACATTTTTTTTACTTAAACTCTATTATTTTCTTATTAATTTATATTCTTCAAATATAAATTATTATTAATAAACCCTTGTTAACAATTATAATCTCCTGATAAGTATTTCTAACTTTTAATTCTAATTTATTAAATTGTTCACTTGAATTTAATAGTTATTTTAGTATAATTAATAATTGTAAATATAAATTCTAAGTCCTTTTTTAGTAATATAGTTAAATTATTTTTTAATTTTAATTAAGTTTATACTTATAATTTATAAACATATTTCTTTTTGTTTATGAGTTATTAGTTGTAAACCTTCTTTTGAAAAATAAAATAAATCCGAAAGGTTAACTAGTAACAATGATTATTCAAATTTTCTATAACTTTATCATGATTCCAAAAGAACAAACCTTTTTAATAGAATCCAATTATAAGTTTGTTTGGATTTCACACATATTTATTACATCAAAAGTAGACACAACAAAATGGAATTGTTATCTAAAAACTGATGTCATTTAATAACCTTTTAATATTTCCAAGGTTTGTATTATTGTCTGATAGAACTCTCATAATTTTATTGATGTATAAAAATACTGATTTTTTAAATGATGCATGATGCTTTGAACAGCTGTTAAAATATCCAATGAATCAAAATGATTTTTAAATTTTTTGTAAAAATTATTTCAACTTAACTTATTTATATTAAAGAAGTAACTCCATAAGATCCACATGACCAATCCTCTTCAGATATATTATGAACTTCCATTATATGTTACATATACACTGAATGAATTATACAACATTCTTAATATACTGTTGTTTTTTGTCACTTTCTTGATCTTTTTCCAGGTTTAGTTTTAAATAATGATCAAGATCTTTGCTTTTCAGGAAACCAACTCATCAAAAAAGAAAGACTTTCCTTCACCTGGTGCAGATTGAAGTGTAAGAAGAGGATGAAATATTTTATCACCAAGACTTTTTTTTCATTTAATGTATTCCTGATATCACAAAACAGATCAAAAATATAATCATATGTTTGAAATAATGTTTCATCTCTACCTTTCCTTTGAAATTAAATTTATTTGTGCATAGTTCTTGTGGTGTTGTAAAATTTTCTTTGGCTCCATCTTGCATTTCTAGAAATTATGCTATTGACTCAGGACTAAGATCTTTCAGATTTGTATGAAAATAACAAGAAAATATTAATATAATGCATAATAACTAGAAGATTATGTGGCGTTTATCATAAATCACAAAAATGTATTTCCCATGCAATGTAATAGGTACTCATACTTATTAGTTTCTCTTTTTTTTTTTGTCTAAACCTTCATTTTCCACATCTGAATCTTCTAGTTTTCTTTTTCCTTATCGAATAAAAAAACAAGTTAATTCACATTGTTAAGACATCATAAATAAATAGAGGAAACGATTAATCGGGTTAATGGTGAATGAGTAAAAAGTTATATATGATATAAGAACAATATACAAATGATAAATAAATAAACAAAATGGAATGAACGAAAAATAATTTTTTGTATATTTTTTTATGTAATTTATTCATTAACTTTTTCTTCAAATTCCCTAAATTTCTTTCCGACCTCTCCCCTCCAAAAGTTTTTTTCTTCATCTAACTTCTCCTTTTCTTTCTTCAACTCGGCTACCTTATCCTCCCACCTCTTCTCCTGTTTTTCACTCAAGTTCCCTTTCATCAATTCATCTTCTAACTCATTCAACTTCTCTCCTTTATACTTCCCCTTCTCCCGCTCTTCTAAATTCTTCTCCGCCCTCTCCAATTTTTGTTTAATATATTCGAATGTTGTCATTTTGAAATTTAAAAAATTTAAAAATTATTAATTGCATAATTTCGATCAAAGATAAATTAGTGGGCAATATGACTTGGAATTTAAATGATAAAAGAAATTTTTATTTTTATTTTAATTCAACAAATAATAGAAAAATGCATAAATAATTTATAAAAATATAAGTTAAAGAATTGTCAGAGTACTTGAATGGGAGGAAAATATTTAAACCCAAAGCCAATTGTGAGTATTACCTATTCTCATTGTTCCTAGTGTTTTTCTTCTAGGATTTATAAGTTATAAGTATATTCTTGAATGTAAAATTCGTTCCAACAACAACCATTTTTTTTTATTGATAAGTGACGCAATATGATGATAATAATTTTCTTCATAAAAAAATAATAATAATATTGTAATAATAAGATTATTTTCCTTCTAAAGATTTTTGCTTTTTGTTGGGTAATAGCACACTTTCATTCTGCTTTCTTTTCTTAATGTTTATTATTTTTCTTTCTTCTTGGTAAATTTCATAAGTAATCCTTCTTTCCTTAGATAAGCTTCCAGCATTCTGAGTATCATTTATTTTGAAAACATAAGGGGGCAACCTTTTCACTTTGTTCCATTTTTAAAATACTTCTGATACCAATGTTCACTTTGTTCCATTTTTAAAATACTTCTGATACCAATGTTCACTTTGTTCCTTTTTTAAAATACTTCTGATACTTTGTCTGCAGCATGCCCATATTAACCGTTTGTACAACAATAAAAATATGGAAATAAAAGAATAGATCTGCAATTTGTCATTGATCAGAAATCTTAATTTGTACAGAATCAAAAAATTATTAAGGTAATTATCACAATAAAAAAATAAGGAATTTTAATTTAGATAAATAGATATAAATAGAATAGCTTAAATGTACTTAGCATCATGCGTTTTATTCAAAAATATCTTTCATAGTGGCTATTGTTGAAATTGGCTTATATATATGCCCCAAATAATTATTAATCGGTCATTAACCTGAAGTTAACAAGTCTTTTATCCGTTCGTCTTGGCATTAAACATTTTTCGTTACAGATTTTCACCTGATCATTAATTTTGTGTCATATTTGATTAACCAATAATATCGATTTTTTTTTTAATATACAATAATCGTCGTAGAGCAAATTAATTTGTTGTATCTTTATATATGTCACTTGTGGCTTATGAATTTATAATAATAAAATTTGCTTGCGAGATCAGGCAAGTCATTGTGGTAGACAAAAGTAATAAGTTGTAGAATAATAATTTATAATAATGGAGCGGGATACTTTCACTTTATATTATACCTTGGGTGTACAAAAAAGTGCCACCGAAGAAGAAATCAAGAAGGCATATCGACGTTTAGCTTTAAGATATCACCCAGACAAAAATCCAAGTGCCACTGACACAGATCAGGTTTGTGATTTAGAGAGGTTAAATTTGTAACATTATTATTTTTTTCCTTTTTAATCAACGAAAAAATTTTAAATATATTAATTCGAGTAATTAATTAGATTAATTAGAGCAAACCGAGAGACAATTTTTGACAATTATAATAAAAAAATTTTTTCCTAACATTTTCATTTCCCATTTTTGCATTCTCAATCATTATTTAAAAGTTCAAAGAAATAACTCATGCATACGAAATATTAAGTGATCCTAAAAAACGTTCGGTATATGATAAATATGGCGAAATGGGAGTCAGTATGCTGGATTCGGTAGCTGGAGTGCTATTCGATCCAGACATAGAAGGACCATTATGTATGGCTTTTTTTACTATTTCATTTTTAGCCAGTCTTTTCATTATCTTCTTCGCTTTCCTATCAGCTCGAATAGATAATTCAATATCCTGGAGTTATGGAATTGTTTTCATACCCATGTGGATAATTGATTCTTTGATATTTTTTGTATTAATTGCAAATGCAAAAAGAGATACTGGAGAAGAAGATGTTGATGATGAATTTGAGGGATCATATGAAGAAGATCCCGGGATTAGAGAACAAACTAGAGAGATAAGACGAAAACAACGAAAAAGAATTACCCAACTAAGGAATTCATTGTCATTTGTTTACCTTTTTTTGATCGTTTCATTTGAAGTGTTAATAGTTCTTCGAACTGATAATAAGATAGAAAAGAGTACAATTGTATTTATACCATATTTTTTACTTGAATTGATTTACTTGTATCCAAGTGTAATCAAATATATCAACTTATTAAGTACTATACGGGGGTTTGATACCAATACAAATCTACCTTGGACAACAAAGATTAAATTATTTATAGATAGTTTTTGGTGGTTTTTCATTAGAATATCACTTGCGATTTTAATTTTGTTGAAACTTGAAGGAATAATTAATTGTAGTTGGGGAGTTATTTTTATTCCATTATATATAAGTGGTCTTCGATATTTTCTCCGGATTGTATGGCAATGGTATAATTTACGAAAAAGTGATCCGTTACCTAATAGAGGAAAAGTTGATGTTATTGTTTCAGGTGTAGCATTTGTAGTAATAGGAACTTTATTTTATACAGTAGTAGGATTATTAGCTAGTAGATTGGATGGCAATACAGGAATAAAGATTTCATCAATTTTAATTCCTGTATTTATTACTTTATCAATTTTCCTTTGTTGTACTGGTTGCTGTTTACCATGTGTTCTCTTAAATTGGAATATGGATGACATGGATGGTAATGCAGAAGCATCATTAGTATCGGCTAACAAAAGAATTACTTATCCTACAGAAATTGTAACAGCAGGACCCAGTGGTATTTCTAATACTTCCAGTAGTAACCAAACTGTATGACTATTACAGCAGGAAGAATAACAAAACAAAGAAGAATAATAATTGACAGGAGAAATAACAGCCAAAAAGAATGATAGACGAGAAGAATGGCAGAACAGACAAGAATGACAGATGTAAATATATACACAAATATATATACACAAATAAATATATCATGCATTTATTATGGTAGAATTTTGGAAATTATATTGTATTTAATTTTTATTTTAAAGGGTGGGGGAAGGAAAAAAAGGAAAAAAAAAGGATGGAAAGGGGTAAAGAAAAAAAAATTATATTATATATTTACATTTTTTATTGTTTAATTTTATATTTAATTTTATTTTTTAATTTTATTTTTAATTTTATTTTTTAATTTTATTTTCTAATTTTATTTTAATTGCAAAATAAAAAAAAACTCAATTAATTCAATTGATTTTCAAAGATGTATATTAGTTATATTAGTTATTCTTCTTATTATAACATTTTCACAATTTTTCTTATTTTCATTATTTTAATATATTATGGGGGTCTGAACAAAGAAAAAACGATTATTAGAATATAATGAATATTATTTTCTTATTTTTTATTACATTTAGTAACTTGTTATAATAAAAATTTATAAATTAAAAATAGAATTAAAAAATAAAATTGGGGTTCTCATTATTATGCAAAAAAATTTTTTTTTTTTTCGTTCCGCTCATATTATTCAATGTCTAGTAAGGAAAACCAAGATTTTTTTCTGATCTTCTTGAGCGTTTAAATGTGATTAAGAGGTTACATCAAAAGATTATTCTCTAAAAGTCATTTTGGAAGATCATCATTATTCAATTCCGGAGACAATGTCATCGTTTATTTCATTACTTAATCAGGGATTGCAAAATTCGAAGAATATTGCTAATATGTAATTAATTAATTAATAGTGTAGGAATTTATTACAATAATTTATATATACTCTAGAGAAACATCGTTAAAATAAAGAATTCAATTATTTCTTTCGTGTTAAGAAAGGTAATATGTATCAACTGTCATGTGATAATATACAAAAAAAGTATAAAAGGTTTATTTGTTGTCAGACAAAATAATTCTGTAATAACACACTTACTTTTTTAAAGGAATCGAAATCCAAAAAAAGATATGTCAGAAACAA